ATAAACAGTGATTTCAAATTTAGAAGTTAATCGTACTCTATCAACTTTACGTAAGGTAGAGTTTGATTTTTTAGAAGTGATAGTGAAAAAAGTTGATAGATAAGTCACTTTTATTGTCACTTTACAGAATTGTATATGAAATTTTTTGTCTCGTATGTTATTTTATATTATGTTATGATTATATTATATAAAAATCACGAATTTATTTATTTTTTTGGTAAAAATCGTTGAAAAGCAATAAAGAAAACCCATCGAGTAAATAACTAAGCTAGCAAGTATAAAGATTTTCATTAATACATAAATCAATTGTATTTCGACCCTGATGTAAACACCAGAATAAACGATATTTAATGGATTAAGAGCATCCCCTCGAGTAAAAGCTTCAACAATCGGTTGACCAATACACTCAACATGTTTGTAGCGATTCACATGACATCGTCAAATGATACAAAGTCTTGGATAAGAATTTACAACGTACTAGACCGCTCTTGTTGACGATTATTTATTCTGATAACATCTAAAGTTTCTCGAACAATGTGATATCTCACACCAAGTAAATCTCCAATCATTCTCCCTCTTATACGTATATAATTTTGAACTTTAATAACCAAGCAGAGATGTGCAAGGAAAAGTAAAAAGAACGAGGGAAAAATGATGACGGTGTACGTACGCCATAATTAACCAGAAAGCAAAAAGTGAAGAGCAGCGGCGGGGAGAGTAAAACCCTAGGATGAGCGTTAAAACGAGAAATTTATACCTCCCCCGAAGTAACCGTGCGCTACGCCACAATTACACCACAGAAAATCTTCTCTTAACGTAATACAGCTAGCTATACATATATATATATATATATACATACACACACGCACGCACGCACGCACATCACACGTGCAATCCTTTGGGCCGAACGTAGCCCATTTATTTCTCCTCATGGGCTTGGGCCTGATTTAATTAAGGCCTCTCAACATATTTGATTAGTGTTAATTACTTGGATCTTGACTGGTAAAATTGCATGATTCTGGACTAGTTATCTACACGTGCGAAAGCAAATTTATTTCACACGTGCGAGGTGTTTGAGTTTTAAGGGACTCTTCGTTCTTACAGTGTATATAAATATAACGATTGTAGTTATCAGACCACGTGGTCAGTTCTACGCTGCCGTTTTCTTCTTATTTATTATTTTATTAGTTTATTAATTTGAATTAAATTTGTGTTCCTATATATATTATCATTTAGAAATTATTTATATTATATTATATTATAATTGATATTTATCTATTATTTATTGTAAAGTAATAATTTTAGTGGTAATAATCATCTTAAAAATTTAAAGACAATGAAATTTATTTAATATTTAATTCTTTTTATTATATATTATTTAAACATTATATATGACGTCATAAATAGCATATATCGTTGTCAAGTAAAGGGACCCAAATCAGATTAACAATTATAAGCATCATCATTATATTATCTCGTACAAATTACAAGGTGCATGTAAATAGTAATCAACCTAGCAAGAAATACAAGGTCCTTTCATATATATATATATATATATATATATATGTATGTATGTATGTACCGGGCTTCATGGGATTAACCTTTAATTTACCAGTACAACATCAACGATGCTCTTATTTGCACACAGAAGCAGAAACCAAACAGAAGACGACTGATTAAACCACATGCCGGAGATAATTACACGACAAGAATTATCTCACCATTCTTTATTCATATTATATTAAACTTTATTTCCTTAACTTTTTTAATATATAGTCGTGTAAAGAAATAGCTAGTGGTGGTATGGAGCTGACGCAACGTAGGAGTATGGACCGGTAGGCGCCATCTTCTGATCAGAAGCAAATGGTGGAGCAGTAGAAATTGAAACGCTGGACCCCTGCAGTACTGGGTGTTGGTTAGAAACAAGTAATGGCTTAGGATGAGCAACCCCATGGATGACGGCAACTGGGGCTCCGCTCACTTTCTCTGCAGCTTTATGAACGACGGTCATCTTCGGGTCTCGTCCATGACCGGCCATCTTCTTTTTTCTTTTCTTCTCTTAAAGTCACTGAGTGGACTCGAAGTAAGATATGTTTTCTTTGCGTTGCTCCGTATATAGATTCGAGGGGTATATATATAGGGGAGTTGTGTTTGCATGGTGAGAGTTCCAGCTTCTTACGCCATTTTCCTACAGTTTTGGGTGCTGTTAGACGTCATGCTCCAACTGGCAAATTTAATTGTGTAAATACTCGTAGGTTTCCATGCGCTGAACGCATGAGATTAGATTGAGTTCACATGCATACTCTTGGGGTTGAGTTTGGTACGTGTAGTAATAAAAGTATTGACTATATGTGTATACATATGTATGTATGTATAGACTATAGTCGCATGAGACACGTACGAGCATCTGCTTAAATGCATAATTTCTTTTGGTTGCGAACAGTGATATGTATATATTCATCGTGAATCTCACATGGTTAGACAGACAATCAACACGAGCACCTTCTTAAAAAGCACGATATATATTAGCAGCTAACTGGTATTTTGTTAGTAAAGCACCTAGAGAACGAGCTTGTTGAAAAGCACTTTCCAGGATTACCTTGTTCAAAAGCATTCTTGGCATATATACAATATTTTTAGAAAAAAATATATATATAAAACGCCATGAAAGGGCAAAAGAAGCTCCCCTCCCAAAAAAAAAAAACGGCAGAACACAAAAGGCCTACAAATGTGGCTGCTGGGATTCGAGCCCAGGTCTCCACGGCCACAACGTGGAATTCTCACCACTAAACTACAGCCACTTTGTTGAGAATTTTTCTTCTTCTTGAAAAATTTATCATATCAATCCCTTCGAAAATGATAAGCAAGTGCACTTATCATCCCCTAAAAAAAAGGTAAATGGTATTATCAAAGTATCATTTTGTTTATCTCAAAAAAATAATGATAATGATAATATAAGAAAAACAATAATTAATTTAATTACATTATTAACTAATAATTTTATTGATTTGGAGAGTATCATATTTTATTTAAATATTATAAGCTTAAATTTTAAATAATAGTAATTAATTTATAATATTTAATTTTAAAAAAATAAAAATTTAACTCATTATTATGTTAATTTTAATAAATTTATTATATTTTTAAATATAAAAAATTTATATAATAAATAAAAGTATTATTTATATATTTTAGAATAATTACTCGTTTTATTTGCTTTAATTTCACCAATATATTTATAAATTAAATTTTTATTTTATTATATTAAATATTAGAAATTGACCCATGTTAGATTATAATATATTTATAAATGGGTAAGATATACATTTTTAATAAAATATGAATTTATAATATTAAAATAGCATATAAAAGTGCTAATCATTATACTGAGTATATTGTTGATGACTGTTTATTCATTTACATACGCATTGTGTATATATGTGTGTGTGTGTGTGTGTGTGTGTGTGTGTATATGTGTGTGTGTGTGTGTGTGTGTGTGTGTGTGTGTGAATTGATAACGTAGCAAACTACATTTAGATAAGGTGTACAGACAGGTATGGATAAGTGTTGGAAGCAGATAGCGATTGGACTATAAGATTAAGTTTTACATTTTCATATTGAAAGCTTGCATTTGCCTTGTCGTCCAAGCTCCACTGTCGTTGAGAAATCAGAGAATAGAATTATCGGTTATCCTGCACAGAAGTGGTTTATGCAGATATGTATGTACACACACACACACACACATATATATACGTACGTACATATATATATATATATACACAGAAGAATAAACGTATTGAAATGTAACCAACAAAATTCTTATGATTAAATAACGGTTAAATCAAATGTACTTAGTTCAATAATGTGAAATTTAGTGTTTAATTTATATTAAATTAGTCTACTTTAAATTTATTTAAAAGTTATATATTAAAATTTTATTAAAAATATAAAATTTATAATTTTATGAGTGTATTATAAGTCAAGATGAATAACTTATAATGTTCAATTTTTTAATATCGAAGACTTAATTATATTAGTGGGTTACGGTAACCAAATTAAATTAAATTTTTACAAATTTATTATTTTTTTTAGTAAAATAAATATTTCACTAACATAAAGGAGTAATCCGTCCGAGAAGGGGCTCGCGTCTGATTAGCTAGTTGGTAAGACAATAGCTTACCAAGACGACGATCAGTAGCTGGTCCGAGAGGATGATCAACCACAACGGGACTGAGACATGGCCCAGACTCCTGCATGAGGCATCAGTGAGAAATTTTCCGCAATGGGCGAAAGCCTGACGGAGCAATGCCGCATGGAGGTAGAAGGCCCACGGGCCGTGAACTTCTTTTCCCGAAGAAAAAGCGATGGTGGTATCCGAAGAATTAATGATACTACGATAACTAAATTAAACCAACTCATAACAAAGTCTTCATTAAAAAATGAAAATGGGAGTGGATACATTCTTGGAGAATATTAGTAACCCAATTTTATCCTTACCCACTTACCTCAATACGTATATAAATATAGATATATTATATATATATATATATGTATGAAATTAAGGAAAATTCTTATCCTTGGGAAAATATATTAACAAATTACCTTAAACATCAAATTGACCATTCAAAATAGTATGAGGGTAACAGCTTCCAAAATTCTCTACACATGGAATTGTCAATTTTAGAGCAAACATAATTAATTACATTTAAGAAAGTAATTACCTATTTTTTAACATACCTTTTTAGTTATAACATTGTCTAATTAATTTAATATTTTAAAAAAAAAATTATACTGATTTTTGCATTTAAAATTTATTTATTACAATTTAGGAAGGATATTTCTGTACCAACTGAATTACCCAAATTAGTATTACCTTAAAAATCTCTAATTAATTTTTTAACCTTAAAATACTCAAAATTTTGGGATAATGGATAAAGACATAATCTCTTATGGTCTATAATTATATATATATATATATACACCATTTTCCGCACCTTAATCTTCAGCTCTATGCTTTATATCTTATCTCCTTCTTCACGTTAATTCTCAGCCGACTTTATCGTCTTCCTCCATACTTCTGCCTGGGAGGATCTTAATTTCTTTCGTCTGAAAATCTCCCGGCCCGTCATGCTTTGTTTACTGGTTCGTCGATGGTACCAGGAGAATATATATATAATTATACACACAATTTCCGCCATTATCGATATATGAACAACCTAACGCAGTTCTGTCAGCTTCTTGTTTTCCAGTCAGTCTCAGTTGTAATCCTCTATTGGTTTTACAAGTTTTCTTAATTTTCCCTTCTCGATTTTCATCGTCGAATCCGGAGATTTGATTGCTCGAAATTAAATTCTCTCTCCGGATAATCGTGTTTGTTTATTCGGAATTTTACTGCGAGAATCGGTAAGGAGCATTTTCCTCGTCGCCAAACAATCCGCCGTTGGGCGACCAAAATTTCTTGGATCGGGTTCGGGAATTTCTAGAAAAATGGTGAAGCAGGGGATTCAGCTGACGAACTCGGTTTTGGAAAAAGACGCGCGATACGCCGTGATTACGGACGAGAAGAGAAGGAAGAGAATGCTGTCGAACCGCGAATCGGCGAGAAGGTCACGGCTGAGGAGGCAGAAGCAGATCGAGGATCTGGTCAACGAGATTGCTCTTCTGAATAGAAAAATACAGGAGGGAAACAAGAGGTTTGATATCATAATGGAGAGCAATAAGGCTGTGGAGTCCGAGAATAACGTGCTGAGGGCTGAGAAGACGAGACTGGCGAATTATATGTTTCATTTGGAGATTATGATACTGAATAGCTGTATGCAGGTCGGTAGTTCGTCCGTCGCCGGCTGCTCCTGCGACGGCCAGTCATCGGAAAAAATGGCGTCGCCGGAACTTTGCCGGGTACCATGGCAAGTTGGGGGTGCGACACAGCCGATTATATCCCCTGGGATCTTCGAGTTTTAATGAATTACTAGTCGTAATTTAATAAAATCGTCAGGATGTTGATGATGATGAAACCAATTTTCTCAGGTTACATTCTTCTGGTAATTGATATGACGTGTCGCTCCTTGTTTGGTTAATACCATAAAGAATTTTCATCATTGCGTTTTATAAATTCAAGAAATATATAAAATAATTATGACATCATTAATGATAATTATAAAAGACTCGATATTAATTAATTACCAAAATGAACATCACACGTAATGTTAAATGACAAAACTAATTATGTGATTATGCCACCCGTACTATCATTAATTAATTAAAGATATAATTAATTAACCATAATCACAAAGGACTTATCAAATTTCTAGATGCGTCTTCTTTGACTTTTTCTTAAAAAAATACAATTAATTAAGTAATTATTTTTTAAATTATTTAATTTCTGTATTTAATATATATTTTAAAGCCAAAACAATGACTTCAAATATTTATAGTTTAAATATCTATAAACGTTTTTCCGCATACAATGTATAGATATAGTAAACAATTTAATATAACTTCTCCACTTAAAAAGATTTACAAAAATTTTAACTACTAAGCTTACATGTTATTGGTATTGGTATATAGATATAGTAATTAATTATATCTTATGAAATGCTACTACTCTAATCGGATCTCAAAATGGGCAGCTATATATAATAGTAATATATATATATATGTATATATATATATATATGAATTAACATCAAGGAAAATAAACCAAATGGGCAATTAGAAGTTACCCATAAATTGGACTAGTAGATTGAATCTCTTCTACACGTTCTTTATTCTGCTAGCCAAAGAAGCAACAAAATATTTTAGAGAGTAACATAGGATGAAGTTCGTGCCTTGATAGTGTGTATATGTGTATATATAGATTCTCTCCAGGCACTAACTATTGATTACGTGGTGTGTGTATATATCTATGTAGGTTCTGTCCAAGCTTTCACTGATGATATACATGGCGCAAAGCATAAAACACTTTTCCACTAATACCTAATTACAATTACAACATAAAACCTACATATGCATTTGCTATAATCTACTGACACCAACATTATAAAAGCATAAATCAAGAAAATTCACTTACTCTAGCTTGAAGTACTCAGCTGACAAGTAGCCCGAGAGGAGAATTAGTGCTCGGCTTCTGCCACATGCACGCGGCTCATATTCCAGAAGGCTACTTCATGTTCAAGAACAGAGAGGAGCACCACTTCAGTCTTTTTGAGAATATCACCAGAAGCCTTCTTCAGCCACCGATCAGCAATTTTTTTGAGGGAAAAACAGTACTGTCCAAAATCGCGGTTGCCCCATCTTTGGCAGGTATCCAGTAATGGCGGTGGGGTTTCGTTACCATCTTCTAAGCAGTGGGCAAAGCTCTCTTGGTACACAGATTCAATTGCCCAGAAAGCTGTAATGACAACAGCATATTCAACTTCCTTGCCCATCAAACTCTCCAGAAACCTGTGTGAGTTTGGGACCCATGCATTAGCTCTCAAAATGATGGTACCAGACCAGGGATCTCGACAACAGAAGTTTTAGCAAGGGTGCACATATATTAACACATAATTTGCGTCCAAAAATATAGCTGGGAAATGCAACTTTTTGCAGATGCAAAAGTTCTCATCCTAGCAAATAGGAACACTGCCCATAAAAAAATAGTTGGGGATCAAAAAACTAGCATCCCCTTAAACAGAAATGTGTGGCCCTACCTTAGATGCGTAAGACATGAATCCCAACTATGCAAATATGAATGCATATAAAAGATAGCAGGGCACATATTTGGAGACACAAAAACTGGAATGCATACCACTTGTGTTCTTAAGATAAAGGCACGTCCCAATGAACTAGAATGCATATCAATTGTGTCCGTAAGATAGAGAGACATAAGACGTTCATCCCCACACTTGATCCTGTTGACAAGTTTTTTGTAAGATGAAAACCTAGAGAAATGGTGTTCAAGGCCATCCTCTTTTCACCCGGAAGTTGGCTTCAATCTCAAATTTGAGGTGGGTTCAAAATGCAATGACTTACATGATGGGACAAAGAAAAGGACATTCAATACAAATACATGCTGAACTAAATCTAGAAGGACAAATATGCAAGGCATGAAGTCATTATGTTGCAAGACTTGCCGATGCTAAAATTCTAAGGGTTGTTTTTTTCCCCCGGTGCAGCTCTCATGTCATTTGGGCTCACCAATTATTGGTGTGTGTATTATCAGATAATCCGGCTACATGGAGTGTTGTTGCGTAAATAAATTATCTACTTACTTTGCAAAAAAATAAACTGAATTAGTCTTTATGTGAACCAAATAAAATGGTTATGTAGAACAATAATTTCTAAAAATTATAATATAACGACTAAAACGCAGTGCCAAAGATTAATCTTGTTCATTCGAATTAAAGTAACATTATTGAAGAATTATTTATCTAAAAAAAAAGATTATTGAAGAATCATTTTACAAACAAAACTATCATATAGTTACGCTAGAAAAATCTCATGTGGTTACCATGTTAAACAAGGATCAAATACATATTTGTCATTCAATTCTAAGTTAATTCCTAGTTCTGATTACCATATTAGTCTTATATTACCAACCCATTTTGAATTCCATTGAAAATGGAAATTCAATATAAAAGTGCTGGTAAACTCAATCATAAGAAATTGTATTCTAATTATAAGCAAATATAAAATTCAAAACTAAACAAATGCAACCTTAAGACACTTAAAACTATATATGTCTTTTCTTCTTCACAAAAATGTTGTGGTCGCAAAAAATTAATAGCTATTAGTCCGGACCCATAAAACATGAAAATGCTGCAAACATCAAAACGAACACAGCAAGGAAAAATGAGTTCTACAAGACTTGTAAATTCATACTTAACTCAACAAATATGAGAACTAATTTTCAATTTGTTCTTTGCGAAATTTATTTAAAATTGTTTTCCATTTAATCTATATATTGACTAAATTCTAACATAAAAAACTATAAAGCATGATCCATAATCAAGAAGAACATATAAACACTGCAATTTTATTTTGAGACCTAAAACAGGGAGAAGGGAAATCACGTATGAACCTGCAATAATCTTGGGTTGCCTTTCGGGGAGCAATTCCCGAGAGTTCGATTTCCCATTTGGAGGCTTCATTTTTGAACCACCGAATTTCATCGTTAAGAGCAGCCATGGCTCCTAATATCACTTCCATATCACTCGACTCATCCGACTCCTTACAGGCCTTCATCAACACACTCGCCGCAAATGCCACGAATTCTCTCACGAATATGTAATCTTGTCCCTGAAATTTTCTCAACCAAAATAAACTAACCACAAACATAAGAAAATTACAGTTGGCTTTCAAATGGATTTCGGAAATCAAAGCAGATGCGTACTAACTACCAGCCATGTTTTGAAGCAGTAGAGATCGACGGAGCCATCTCTGATGCTGAGGATGAAAGGATGCCTCGTAGCTCCTATGTAGATCAGTTGGTGCTTCCTCAGCCACGAATCGATTATCCCGATCTTCTCCATTTCTTCCCGCGTTTTGCTCTCCATTTTTCTGCTCGCACTCCAGTTCGCCCTACCTGAGTTAGCCGGTCTCTTCTCTGACTCGGGCTTGAGTTGAGCAGACTCTCTTATGGGGCCTAGTGCCTTACACATGGCTTACATGCGCTGAAGCCGAGCTACGCGTCAAATAAGCCAGCCGTGTATATCTGTGGCGGGCTCCGCCCATTACGTGACCGAACCCAAGCTTGTAACTTTCCTCCTCATACGACGTCGTCTAAGGTATTCTAAATAATTGTTTTTTTTTTGGGCTACAACTTGAATTTTGATTCTTATTGGGCCTGAAGTATCTTTGTGAATTATACAATGGTGTAATTGGTATTCTAGATTTTTTCATTCAATATTTTATTATTATAAAAAATTTGTCATATTATTTATAATACACTAATAAAATAATAATTTTTTAAATAAAATATAAAAAATTTAATTATTATACCGTTGATAATTATCTCATTAATTATTTAAAAGTAATTTACTAACCAGACAAACTTTAATATAAAAATAAAGTAAATATGAGGGGAAAAGAGAGGAAAAAAACGAGGCCTAATACGGCACCGTGCGGATGACACAGTTGGTCTGCCACTAGCTCTTCTGGTAAACTTGGAATGTCGACATTGTAGACTCATTAAGATTGAATTAAAGGCTACTATTTTTCTACTCGTCAATTATTGCAGAAGCACTTTACTACATGACTTGTATATATTTCAATATATTTTAGTTTTATATTATGATTAATGTGCATGTATAATATAATATAATATGATATAATATATATATTTATGTGACAATTTAATTTACAAAGTTAATTAATATTTATAAATTATTTAGCTTGTGAATTTCAACTTTTACATACTGTATCTATTTTTGTTATATATATATATATATATATCCCTTAAAAATAATCCCAAAAAAAAAGTATCCCTAGAAAAAACATATTATGTGTGTGTGTGTGTGTATAAATATATGTATGTGTATATATATATATATATAAGGGGGGTAGGATGATGGAATTAATGCATCATATGTAGACATACCATTTCATGGTGCATGATGACTGTTATTTTTAGCTCGTATTATCTGCCTCTTTTGGCAGCCTCACCACATTTTTCCAGTGCGTGAATAAATTATTAATTTCCTATGATCTACCTGAACTTATTTCTACGTCGGGAATGATTTGTTTTTGGACTTAATTCCAATATTAATTTTAAAATGTATAATTAGAACACAATATATTGTATTTGAATTTTTAAAATTCAAAAAGTTCATTTTTTACCTCAAAAATTAAAATTAAAATTAAAATTTTGTCGTAAAAGTATTTAAAAAATAATTAAAAATTAAAAATTCTAAAATATATATATATATATAGATGTAGAACGGCTAATCTAACTTGAACCACCATTTTCATAGAGAAAAATAAAAATTTTAACTGTGTAACTAATAAATAGTTAATAATAATGAATTATATTTTAATTATGTGTACTTAAATTAATATGAAAGTGGATTTTAAAATGAGTGAAATTAAGTGAAAAATAAACGTGACACAATTTTAATAATTTTATCGGGTTATGCCTCTACTCGGAATCAACTTGCTCAATTGCTTAGTTTAGTTAAATAATTGGCAGTGTAGATACGAGACAAGTTTAACCTGCTAGAAGAGAACATTTCACTATTTATACTCTACTACCTTTTGAGTGCAGAAACATATTCACACAAGCGTGTAAGTCACTCCTGGTCAATGTCTGTTGTCTCCGGTGCTGGTGTCTTGAGTCCTGTTGTGGTTGTCAATATGGACTGTCAAGAAGATGAAGTGTTAGTAAGAAAAGTCTATGAGATGTATCATAAAATCTCAAGGCTAGAAAACCTCAACCCTAGTGACCATGTCAACACCCTCTTCACTCAACTTGTACTTACATGCATGTCTCCCTGCCATATTGATGTTACCAAGCTGAGCAAAAGAGTTCAAGACATGAGATGTAGGTTGATTAAGCTATGTGGGAAAGCTGAGGGACTTTTAGAAAGCCATTTCTCAACTCTCATAGGATCTCAACAGAACCCACTTCGCCACATCGGTCTCTTCCCCTACTACACGAATTACCTCAAGCTTACCAATCTAGAGTTCACCATGCTCGGTAAAGAGTATTGCGATGGTCAAGTTCCAACCAAAATTGCCTTCTTAGGATCTGGACCTCTCCCTCTTACTTCCATCATCTTGGCCTCTCAGCACCTGAAGACAACAACTTTTCATAACTATGACATTGATCCATTGGCAAACTACAAAGCATGGCAGCTGGTTTCATCAGATCCTGACTTGTCGAAACGAATGTTTTTCCATACATTGGATGTTATGGACTTGTCAAGTCAGGCTTTGGAGGAGTATGAAGTTGTTTTCTTGGCAGCTCTTGTAGGGATGGGCAAGGAAGAGAAGACTCAAATCATTGATCACTTGGCATTGCACATGGCCCCAGGAGCCTTCTTGTTGCTGAGGAGTTCACATGGAGCTCGAGCATTTCTGTATCCTGTTGTTGGTCCTCATGAGCTTCAAGGTTTTGAGGTTCTTTCAGTTTTTCATCCAACTGATGAGGTCATTAATTCAGTTATTGTTGCACGCAAATGCCTAAGGCCTGTCTTTCCATTGAATCAAGGGTTCAACTCCACTGTGTCACCCAGCAGATGTTCTGAGATCCAAGGTTTCAAGTCCTTAAACCAAGTGAACATAATTGAAGAATCAACAATTAATGAGAAACTCTCTTGAATCCTTCAACCGGCTGCTTTAAAATCTGCATGTGTAACTCGTAATTTCAAGTTAATGTTTGCATAATAAGCTTCTTTTGTTTTTCTTCTCGTCAAGTAAACAAATGGAAGAACAATTCTCCAGGGAATTATTAATTGAAATAAGCATGTGGAGCAAAGAAATATTTTTACATATCGGTACCCATAACATTGATGTGGTTACTTCGAAGTAAAAAAAGTAGTGGTTATGTCTGTCTAGTTGGAAATGATTCCCATTTAGTTTGTCATTCAAAACCTGTAGATCTCAACAAGGGTGTCAAATAAGCTCAAAGCTCTTTTTTTTCATGATCAACAATTCCTAGCAAAGATTTGGTCTTCAACAATTTCACTAGCCATCACTTCAATTATTTTTTAAGTTCTGGTCAGACAATTTTTCCTCTCAGACGAAAAATGATTACTGTTCAAACCATCACTTGAGAGATGATTATTGTTCAAAAAATCTAGATCAGCTTCTATACTCCAAGCCTTGCACTGATGAAATGGATAGAAATCACTATTTCATCCCCATTAACAGATTTCACTATTGAGTATTTGGCAGAGAATCAGCAAAATTTTTCAGGGAATAAAAGGCAGTGTTACAAGACTAATTCAAGTTGCTTTACCATATTTGTCTCAATACACTAGAGGATATCTAACTTGCTACCACTGTGCTTATAATCACACAATACCCAAAACCCATGCTTCTTTCAAGATTCAAAGTCATTTCACAAATCAGTATATTATATAACTTGGCAGACACTCCTGCTGCTTTACAAGGTGATCCAAAGGAACCTGAAACTAATACACAGCCAGATAAGGAACGAAATATTTTCTCTAAGAAATAGATAATGAATAAACTAGCCAGCAATATTAGGAAAGGGACTATCCAAAAGGATATTTACATGAAGATGTCATATGTGCAGAAAATTGTAAAGAGAAGTGGACAAATCAGAAGTGGCAGAGTTTTTCCCCAGCATAACCCAGCTCTCCTTTTCTTTTTTCTTGTTTCTTTTATCTCTTTTCTGAGACAACATAACCAGCTCTCTTAAAGTGCTAAGAACTTGACTGTGAGAAAATTTGCTAGAATGTGATTAAGAATATTCCCCTCATTTACTCTCTACAACTGACACCCTGCATATGTTGAAATCCCATACACCAGAAAATAATTGAATCTCTCCTCTAATGGGAAGCACGGTTTTGAAGGCAGACAATAGAAGTTCTAGAATTAGAAGTTGGAATAGTGTGGAGCAAAAAAACATAAAAGGCGGAGATAAAACTTGATAAGTAACTTCCTATTGTCGATTTATTTCATGAAACTTGAAGCTTGGAGTATTTTTAGACTTGAACAAGGTCGTTTTATTGATCCCTTGGAACTATAAACAAAAAAAAAAATGAAGCAGAGAAAATAATTTATGGCAATAAGGCCTAAATAATCAAGTAAAATTATTGGTAACAAGAACAACACAAGTTGGACATTCTCCTAAACTCGTCAGGCATCCTTCAGAAATTAGAACCTGATTGGTTAGCATTGAGTTCAGTCTTAATGATTAAGTTGCTTGTGCGCGGAAATCTGTGGAAATAGAAATACAGTAAAATGCCTATTAGATTGATGCTTCCTCATCTAGACACTAATGGCAATAATTTCAGGATTTTCTGTGCTGTCTTTAAGGGGGTTTTCGTGCAGGACTGAAGCCACTTCATTAGCTTCACAAGGAGAGGATTGTGCCAAAAATACTGAATTATGCCAAGAGTTCCAGGTTTCTATGCAAAAAGCAGCATTCCTGTGATTGGACTTGAAAAGGGCATAATATGAATGCAAATCACCATGTTAATATGGAAACCTTCCTATTAACAGAGAAATGTAATTGCTGTTGATGGAATAAAAAGAATTGAATTGCAAATATCTAAACTCTTAATTGTCACATGAGTTGCAGAAACTGTAAAGCCTATTACCTCTTAGAACTCTTTGCATATAAAGCACAAAAGAAGGAAACCCTTGTATGGTGTAAAGAAATTGTAAAACATGAAGATGCTGGTAAACAAGATTGTGAATTGGATACGCTTGCTTGACTGTATAAGAGCACAATGTTAACAAAAGTGATGTTACGTGATCCTTCCCATATGATACTTGCCTATTTAAAAACATCATAGTAAGACATCAAGCATCAAATAGATCTGCTCAAACCACGTTCCGAACCAAGAAGAAACAAACTACAAATTTCATTTTATATTACCTATGAGGACCTCAGATTAGAGACTGAAAGGAACAATGTACTTGAATTAGATCATCACTATCATGGTCAGTTCTTCTTAATAGAACTTCCAAGCAGAAACAGAAAGAAGTGGAGTACCCTTCCACCCAACAATAAGGCACTTTCCATTCATGTCAAGAGTACAAGAACTCCCACAATTGAACTTTTCAGTCAAAAGTTTTGCTTGGTAGTGGGATGACATGCTCAGATCAGCCTCTAACATTCCAAAACGAGCAAAGAAAGCCCTCCAAACATCAATATTCACATTTCGGATCTTCCTTTCATTTCCTTCAGCTGCCAATATATTTCTGATTCCCTCGCCAAAGTATCTAGATTCAGTAACCACCCTATTGACATTATCTCTTTTCATGCAAGCTTCCAGACAATCAAAATATGCACTGTAAAAGAAAAGAGCTTCAATGAAACGGCTCACAAAAAATGGTGAGTTGAGATTTGCCTCTACCTCAATAACAACCATTATATACGGACTAATCTTCCTGATGATCCTCATTAAGGCTTCTAACCGGTCTGGAACTACAATCATGCTCCTTAGCAAGAACTGAGAAAAGACAGCAACCATCTCCGTAGCATCTGTCTCAAAGAGATTTTCTTTGAGATCAAGAATGTCTGAGACCATAACTATCTTGAAAGAAAAGGGTAAGTTCATGCTCTCAGCAAAACTCCGTAACCGCCGACCTGTATCCTCTATCAAATGTTTTGAAGTAGTTCCAATAGCAGTTATCTTAAGAAGCTCAATAGGACCCTCTTGACGTGATGCAAGAGCTTGCATCAGGATTGCCCATTGGATCCCACTCATAATTCCAAGATCAATTATATGAACTCTGCTTGCCTCAGCCATATTGTCTATAATGGCTTGGATCCCTGCAAATTGGGTTATCTGTGCAAAAGGCATTGTTTGATGACATGCCAGGGTAGCAGGATTTGGGCTCATGATTGCCTCATCAATATCGACTTTCTGCACTCTCTCTAATCCCTTTGACTTGAATCTACCAGTCTCTCGATCAATCTTTTCCTTAAGGGCTTCAGAAAAGTAGTAAACTATACGTTGGACTGGAGTTCCAGTATCAGAAGACAAGCTATCACACTGATTCAGGAATCTCTTCGCACGGTCATATTCTTGACAGCCTACTTTCTCTGCAGAAGCCAAAAGAAAACCAGCTAGCTCCACATCTTTGATTTCCTCATTGGAAAGACCAGAAAAAGATAGATTAAAAGGATGGCTGACCATGGAAAGACCATCAACTATTTGGGAAGAAGACTGGATGAAAATCTCTCCTGCAAACCTAAAGATTTCTTCAGTCGAAAACTTTTTGGTTGCTCCCTCTGTATTTGCCGTATCATTTCTTGGCTCAATAATTCGTCCTTCCCCATTCAGCCGCTTGAACCCACTTCTGTAGTTGTTTAGGAGCTCAAGTGCGGGGAAAGAAAATTGAACATGCTTCTCCTTCTTGGGTTCAATCACATCTTGGATTCCACCAGCAAGCTTTACCATCTCCTCAAAATATGCTTGGATTGGTGGAGAAGCAACGTTAAAACTTACACCATCGAGTAGTCTAAAATCTGAACATGACAGTTGTTGCTGCTGTTCTTGATCATACTTTGTGACTATAAATCCATTGTCCAGTGATGACTCATCTGGATGGAATCCATAATCAGAACCGAGCGAATAAATATCTCGAGACCTTTTGCAGGCTTCTGTTCCATATTCCAGACTCTCAAAACCCTGACTGGAAGAACTAAACTTGTCTTCAACTGCACCGGAGTTGAACCCCTCCATAAAGCACATAACATTGGCCATTTGAACAAGCTTACTTACAGTCTCGTTTTATCTAATTTTGTTGAGTTTATAAACTGATATACTAAAATTAAATGACCAATTTGGTTAGTGATCAATAAATAAAAGACAAACAAGCAAACAAACAAACAACAAGAACAGCCAAGAGTTTTTATTTTTTTAATCAAAATTGCTTAACCTCCAAATAGAACCGTTCTTACACAAAGTCTTTACAGAACCACAGTCACGTAGATGTTGATGGGCTGATATTATCTAGGTGGCCCGCTAATAAAAATATGGAGTTAAACAGTTCTCCGGGGAGAAAATTTCTTAGACATTCTATGAATTAAATAAGAAATCAAACAATGCCTAGAACGGAACTAAAATAATGAACATGAAATCTAGCTGACATAATTCTTGGGGACATTTTTTAAATCTGTAAGTTCCTAAGAAGTTCCGCCAATCAAGAATTGTCCAACAAACTCGAACAATCAGCAATAATAACACAAGCAAATAAAAGATGACACAAAATATCCAACTTAGCAAGTTAGTATGTAGAACAAGAAACTAAGGTCTTTGGAAACAACATCAGCAAGCAGCTTTCAACGCAGAACAGCCCAGCCCGCCGTTGAAAGAGCTTATATGACATATACATACATATATTAAATACAGCATTTAGAACAACAGCCAAACGGATAAAATACGGGCGTAAGGACGTATTCGCTTACCAGAAACAGAGGGCTGAGCGGCAGGACTACTGCCGGATCCTTTTGAATTTTTCTACTTCTCACTGCAAAGTTACATTACTGTAAATCGCACTGCAAATTCAACACGAGGCCGATGATTGCCGTAACCGGAATCCTTCTCTCCCCCCATTCTTTCTCGCGCCAATTAGTTTTTCGATCCCTTAAAATGTTCAAATTGGGCCGGCTCATCTCAGGCCCAATTCTAATTTAAACTCCTGTAAGAAAAAATTACTTTTCATTTTCTGATAAAAGTAAAAAAAAAAAATTACCTCGGTAAATTTGAAGTGAATTTAAATTTAATCACTCACTGTTTATTATCCAATGACCAATCGCCATGTCATCAACAGCGCATCACATGACGTGTCAAGTCAACATCCGGACTCCTCCCTGTTTCTTTCTCCAGCTCTACAACATTTATATTCGTACCGGTGACACGACGAGCACTCCATCTTCTACGTCTCTTTCTTTGCTCTCTGATATTTTCCCCAATCTTCTATACTGCGGGCGTGTTTGTATATACAGTTTTACATGCACAACCGCGCATTTCTATAGAGATAGAATATAAAACCAGAGATTTAGGTCTTCTGATCGGATTGGAGTGGTGTTTGGTGGAGGATCGATCCTTGCTCAAATCGTTAATCAATGGCGGAGGACAAGTACAATCTAAAGAATCCTGCAGTGAAGAGGATCCTGCAGGAGGTCAAGGAAATGCAATCTAATCCTTCTGATGATTTCATGAGCCTCCCTCTCGAGGTTTGTTTTTCAAAACGTTCTCTCTTTTCTCCCTTAGAAAAAGTTGTTATTGTTTGCAATTGCTCGACTGAAACAGCAATAATTGGATGTCTGAATCGCTAATGCTTTCTCAATTAACGGTTTATCTGCGCTTAATTTACAAGATAGGCAATCGTACATATTGGCTTCTGGATCGAACTAGGGTTTCGAAGTGCAATTTGGGGAATATCTGTTGAATCATTGGAATTGGACTTTGGGTTTGAATTTTGTTTCTGAAATTCATTTACATATTTTTTCTGCGTTGCGGAAATGGGAGGGAACTTCATGGGGTTATCTTACGGTGTTTATACTGATTAGCGCACTACTGGGAATTTTTTTCCAAATTGGAGGGACATGCTGCATATTATAATGTTTCAAAATCTGCTTCACTTACGGAATTGAGATATAAAGAACTGGGGATTGTAGAGTTGACTTAAAATTGCTGCTGAATGTATTGGATAAGGCCTATGGGTCTCCCTTAACGGGAGCAAATAAAGAGAATAGGGGAACCACATTTAATTGAAATTTGGATTGTTTAGTTGGGAATTAGGAATTTCCTAAATTCAGTTTATGTTATACAGAAACTGAATGAAAAATTGATTTCTTTATTTTTCCGTTTCTATTTCCACTTACAACTTGTTCCATGTCTCACTATCCATCTTGCTAGTGCTTAATGTAATTTGTTTTCAGTCTGACTTGATTTCTGATGCAATAGTTCTATTGTTCTATTATTACCAGGAGAATATATTTGAATGGCAATTTGCCATAAGAGGCCCAAGAGATACTGAATTTGAGGGTGGTATTTATCACGGACGGATTCAGTTGCCTGCTGAATATCCATTCCAGCCTCCTTCATTTATGTTGTTGACTGTAAGATTTTCCTCTCTTTAAAACTTTATCATATTTATTCAAGTTAGACATGCTAACAAGTTTCATGCCCTTCTTTCAGCCAAATGGTCGTTTTGAAACCCAGACCAAGATATGCTTGAGCATATCAAATCACCATCCCGAGCACTGGCAGCCATCATGGAGTGGTAAGATGTCATTATCATTCATGCATCTAGATATGTATTCTAAAGTATGAGTAGATGGCTAGTCATTAAAAGTTGACCTTTGAATCAAATAGCAAAGACCTAAAATTATGACTTACGTCCAAGTGGTAAATTTGGCACTGACTTGTTCAAAGCTTGAGCTAATGAATAATACATGTTTGCTTCATTATATTATTGTTACTTAGGAGTAATAATGAGGAAACAATTTTTTTTTTCTGAAAAGAGAGGAAACAAGTATCACTCTGTGTGGTTCATTTACTTCCTTGTATGGTTTATTATTACTTGTTGCCAACTGGTGAATGATACACAACCGGGTAATCATGCTAAGTTGGCACCTGAATAACATATATCTTCTGTGAATCACTGAATCTGTGTATTCATTTTATCTTATACCTGGTTTACATATCATCATCATTGGCAGTGCGGACTGCTCTTGTGGCACTAATTGCCTTCATGCCAACTAGCCCAAATGGTGCATTGGGCTCATTAGACTACAAAAAAGAAGAGAGGCGAACCTTGGCCATCAAATCTCGTGAAGCACTCCCTAGATTTGGCACTCCTGAACGTCAAAAACTTATCGATGAAGTATATGCTTGCCCACGAATTCCTCTTCATAGTGATGTGGTTTTTAATTCGACATCTAATATTTTGGTCACCTGTCCATCATCTGCAGATCCATCAGTATATGCTAAGCAAGGCCCCCCCAGTTCCCCAACTTAGCTCCCCCCAGGGTTCTGATGAAAATCCAACAAATGCGGAGGTGTTATTGCAGGCAGATATGCAAAATGTTGGGGCAGCAGATGTGCAAGCACCTTCAGATCCAACAGTAGGTGACAGAATCGCTGAAGAAGTGCACGAGGCGCCTGCCAATGCTGAGGCGCCTGTCAATGCCGATCCCAATCATATGGGAGCAAGGGTAGCATCTGAGGTTGCCAGGAATCCAAGCAATCAGCCGCTGCAAAAGCCACTGACGAGGGTTCAGAAACCAGGTGATGACCGTCTGCTTACATGGGCCGCCATTGGCTTGACAATTGCAATCCTGGTTCTTTTACTGAAGAAGTTCATAAAATCAAGCGGACATGATGCTGTTTTCATGGATAGATCGTAGATGCTATATTTCTGTTATGCACCGGTTTGCAACTTACATAGCTACTCGGCAGCCAGAGAAGTGCATATAAATTCGAAGCATGCACTATCGCTGTTAATAGTATAAAAGCCGCCATTCATTTGTTTGCGATGATAATCATGTCTTATATCTACTTTTTTTTTCTAAGAGACGTGGATGTAGGATTCAAACTCAGACTCCTTAGTTATTTTACCGAGTGTTATATAATATGCGTCAAATATTCTTGATTATATATAAAATACATATCATTTGCCAGAGCATTACCACACTAGTTTTAGAAAACCATCCTTCAGTTTCTGACTAAAAGATAAATTTATCCTTTCATGCAGGTCTAACATACTTTTTCTTTTGT